CCATGCCGGGAATCGAACCCGGGCCGCGTGGGTGAAAACCACGAATCCTAACCACTAGACCACATGGGACTCCACCTTGGAATTCACACAAGTTCTCATCAAAACGTTTATAGATATTAACCTTTTCGTGGTCGCAAGTTCCATTGCTGTCAATGAACTGAAACCCGAACTTCCCAAGTTGCATTAGTTTTGAGCCACCGTCTGAAACAATACGTTATTGGTATGTCATGTCCTCGAATTCCAACATATTGAAAATGTTTGAAATAAGTATAGTTTGAGGCATACAAATAAAAAAACTAGTATATCTGACAATAAGATGTAAACTCTTCCGAAAATTCAAAATAAGCAAATTTTAGACGTTACATTATTTTTCGTTTAAAATTGCATAACTGATGGTCATACTCGACATAAATAATGAAAGAGAATAATGAAAGTAATCTTCCATGTTCAAATCGTATATTAGAACCAAGAACAATTTCTAAAAATTTTCGCATACCTGTCTCACAGTCTAACTGCATGATATAAGGCGGATTTTTCTGTTCCGAATACATCCATTCCCATGAGTGTGCTAGTCTGAAACGTGATTGATGATCACAGCCCATTATAGAAAGTACTAAACGTTCAAAAGACTCTATAGAACGATTAAGAGTATAAGCTAGGAAAAATAAGAACCAATCAACCAATCATACAAGTCATGTAAGACTAATAGAGCCTACTTTGCAACAATCAAAATTCATTCCCCTTTACGCAAAGCAAGTACCTATCACAAGGACAAAAGCATCTTACAATCAAGGAAAACAGTATCTTAAACTCATTTTGGGTGAAAAAAAAACTCACTCATATGGAAAATAAGCACATCGTGGACGACCCCAAGTGTGACACTGATGGATCATTACACCCATATCTGGTGTGTACCAATGTGCCAGCTTGTCGGACAGCCTCTCGAAAAATTTGATCGTGTCATTATTGGCGCGAATAAAGAAGTTGGCACCTTAAATAGCACGGGAGCTTTTTGAGAAAGAATTCGTTTTGGTTCATTTTTCCAGCGTCATATAACTGCTTGGTTTTCATCCAAGCAGTTATATAACGCTTAATTTATTTTTTGAGCTTGATTTTGTATGACATACTTGACCTTGTATATTATACTATGAAGGACTTTTACGGCGGCCTAGCAGTAGTTCCCATAGCCTCGCCGCTTTTCCCCGGAGGGAGCATGAGCGTTCCGGAGGGATCTAACGCCTTCCAAACGCTAGACTCTGATTCCACCTATTGTTCCGCTGACTGTCAAATGGGTTGTGCAAGCCCAGTGAATGGACATGTAAATCGAAGAAAAAGGAAATTGAATGTTCCTTTAGAAAATAGTATTTTTGGTTTATAATAAAGTGGTGATAAAAGAAGGGCAGCTTTATGCATTTACATTTACTTAACTCGCATATCCTATGCTTGGATTACTCCTCTAATTTGATGCAGTGGCTCAATACGTTCACTCTGTTGGTATTTTTACAACTTATATATTGATAATCAGAAACTGAAGGGCATGATCCTAAGTCGAATGTGTCCCTTAGGTGTTAGCATTAAAATAAGTTTCTGAAGTGCCACTTCATCTGAGCGACAAACAATTTTTCAAAATTGGTCACCCTATTTGGGTCATTGCTCTCAAATTAAACCGCGGAAAATCTGCTCTATTAATGATGATTATTACTGTATTAGACAGGGGAAAATAAATCTAATTATCGATGATTATTTCCCGTATCAGCCTA